AGAAAATAGCTCCAACTGTCACTCATGAGATCTGCTCCCTCCTCCTGGAGAAAAATCATTCCCCCTAAACACGGAGCTTTGTGCATTCTCAAAAGACCGGGCTTTTCCTCAAAGCCCATCTGAGAGCCCACACTACTTCAAGTGCTGGATATGCATGTGGTCAGGAAAGCGGTTTCAGTCAGATTTTTATTTGTATGTGTCCTGCAAACCTCGCCTCATTTTTTGGGGCGGGGGGTAAGGCTTGAATAAGAATACCCATAGGGAAGATTTGAAGATGTAACTCTCCCTATAGTAAATGCTGAGCTTTCTAATTTTACTCAACACTGGGAGTCCATACAGGGGATTGTAAAAACCAGACATGCTGTGTTTGGTGTTAATTTCTGCTGCTGTAATAACTTAATTAACACCACCAACTAGGAGCCTCGCAGCAGGTGTTGTGTGTTCGGCAGCCGTGTGAGCAGTAGTGAGCGTTGCTGTTTTAAGCATCTAGCTGAGTTGCACAGATGACTGTGTGGCTCACAGTCTGTCCTTTTACCCTGTCCTCTGTTCTGGATTGGTTACCATTGTCATTGATTGGCAAACCTTGCTGATGTCTGTGAGCCTGTTTTTCCAGTGTCTCCCTAATAGCTTGTAACAAAGAGCTGCCCTATTTCTGTTTGGGTGCTTGATTGGTGTGTTTGCTGGCGGTCTACTGCTATGCTTTTGCATTTTAAATATGGCTTCCATTAAATATTATAGTATTTTTTCCTATTTTCTCTGAGAATTCTTCTACTTTATAATCTCAATGTAATTGACTAACAATACAGTATATTCCTTATGTTGATGAATAATAACCATTAAAAAAACCCACTATGGATTTCTAAAACCAGTAAGTTAGGTTAAACTACTGTGTATTTAATTTTTAATCTTGAAATTTGTTGTTTTCAAAGATTTGGAGTTAACATAGGAAAACTTGACATAAACAAAATATTAAAAATTTAGTACCTTGAAAGAGTTTACTGTTCTTTATAAGGAAAATATTTCAGTGTTACAATTTTCTTTTTGTTCAAAAAACTAAGAAATTTACATTTTTGCTAATGACTACTTTTTGAAATGTTCCTAAAAATGGGTGATCACCAGGACAGCTATAAAACATGACCTACTAACCTGCTTTTATTAAATGATTTAGAATGACTGACCCTGTTTCTCTCAATGATCCCAGATTTGTGCCGACAAAGTAATAATACAGGGTTTTGCCTTTCATAAATAAAACAACTGTAGAAAATTATCTCTAGGTTAACAAAGTATTCCCATGAAATGTTTAATTAAAATGGCAATAAATTCACTTGTTTTTTTATTAATTAGTTAATTAACAATTTTTTTCAGCTACAGTGTATTTGCATAATTATTTTATTTGAGTTACAGCTTTTAAAACCAGTTAATATACAAAGTTGGAAAACATAATTCAATGTTACATTTTATTTTAATGACTGCATTGTAAAGGCTTAACTAGAAAAGCATTAGTGAAAAGCAATAGTTTCAAAATCATTTTTCTTCTATGTTTTAAGAAATGATAAGTTCAGATCCATGAGGCTGTGTAAGGCGAGGCCACCTTACACCAGATAAAACGTGGTGTTAATGAAATCTTGAGCTCTACGTAATCCCCTTGACTTTATTCACTCTTCAAAACAGGGTAATGGCCTTGAATCAATGTTGTTAGAGATGACTAACCCTGACCCATTTGGAAATGCTCATTTCATAATCCCTGTGTTTAAGGGCGCTTAATACTTTGTTTGAATATGGTGCAAACAGCAGCAAGTTCTTCCACATTTAGAGACACACTAGTTGGCGTTTGTGATTTTAAAATGAATATCCTTAATTTTTTTAATAAAGTTAGATAGTTCCTTTACTAATTTCCTTTTTGGAAAGTGTAATATAAAGAAATATGAAGTGAAGGCGGAATCTCAAAAATCTCAGGAGATTTCTAAGTAGGCAAAAAATAAAAACAAAACCAAAAAACTTAACCTATTTAGAAAATAAGACCATATACCTTTTAAATATTAAAAACCAAAATTTTAAAAGGAAGTCAGGGTAGATCTTCAGAGCACAATTAAATTCACTGTAGAGTTCACATGGAACACACGGAGACATTCTGTTGTGATTAAAACATACAGTGAGTGCTGCTGTGGAGTGCCATCCAACGGAAAGGCAGGGATTTTCAATATGGGAAGCGGCTCATTGAACCTTAGTAACAGTGTGTGACAAGTTTCACCTTGTTCAGTGCAGTCAGTCGGGTGTGTGATACAGTTGAGAGAAGGTGTGTTTTAAAGTGTGTCATAAATCATCCTCCATCATGACAACGCTCCGTGTCACACATCACTTCTGGTACAGCAATTTCTGTCAAATAAAACCATTACAGTCTTTCCTCATCCACCTTATTCACCAGATCTAGCACCATGTGACTTCTGGCTCTTCCCCAAAGTCAAAATGATTCAGGACATCGAGACAGCCACAACAGCTCCACTAAAGACACTCAAAAACAGGACTTCCAGAACTCCTTCAGAAAGGGGCAAAAATGATGGGGTAAGTGTGTTTGAAGCGAGGGGGAATATTTTGAGAGGGATTAATCGTAGTGGCCGCTCACTCACGGGTTGTGAAGGCATTCATGAGGCAGGTAGAAATACAAAAGGAAGATTTATTGAAGTAAGAGAAGGATTGGTTGGGCAGAGTCTGCAGGAAACTCCTGCATGGAGTCTTTGTTTCATCTCAAGTTTTATATTTTCTCAACAGAATGTAAATTGCTTCATCCTATAGTGGAATTTTCTGTCTAGTTGGGCTTTGCCCATTGGGGTGGGGGAAGATGCGGTTAAACTGATCATCACAACCTTTGCATGTGTTATGTAGATTTAAGTTGGAACCAGAAATGGATCCCATACAGATGCAAAACCTTTCCCAAGTCACAGGGCCAGCACTGGGGGGAAGTAAATAGAAACGTTGAAACTGGTATGCATTGTAAATGTATAGGAAGCAGAATCATTAAGGTTTGGTGGAAAGGAAGCAAAGAAAGAAAAGCTTTCAAAAAGTCCCAAGCTAAATTACACTTGTTAATTCTAATTATACCAGAGATCCAAATCCCAAAATAAAAGATTTAGTGCCACCATTACAATACCCCTGTCTCATCATTAATGGCACTGTTTCTTTTACTGTAATAATTTTTTTAAATTTAAATATTTACCATATTGTTTGACCACACCTTGTATCATACAATGTAGCTATTCCACTCTTAGGTATTTACCTAACAGAAATGAAAGCATATACCCATACAAAGATGTGTGCAGTAATGTTCATGGCACTTTATTTTTAATAGCCCCAAACTAGAAAAAACCCAAATGTCCATCATTGGTGAATGTATAAACAATCTGTGTATATCCATGCAATGTAATACTACTCAGCAATAAAAAGAACTATGACACATGCAACAACAAGGATGGATCTCAAAACAATTATGCTCAGTGCAGATACCCAGACAAAAAAGAGTATGTACTCTATGATTCAATTTATATAAAATTCTAGAAAATGCAAGCTAATCTCTAGTGTCAGAGAGCAGATGGAGGACTCCAAGGAAGGATTACAAAAGAGCATAATAAAACTTTTGGGAGCTACACATATATTCATTATTTGGATTGTAATGATGGTTTCGGGAGTATCAAAACATCAAATTGTACACTTTAAGTATGTGCAGTTTATTTTGTCAATTATACTTCAATAAAGCTGTTTGTAAAAAAATAATAATAATAAGTATGAGGGGGATCTACTTGTGTCCACATGTAACTGTGTCCATGATGTAGTAAGCGAAAGAGGAAGTAGGAAGAACATAATGTATAGTTTGATCTTAGAATTTTTTAAAACTAATGAGTAAGAAAGAATCATAAAATCCTTATCTGTCACTATCCTTTTTTTGTGTATGTATTGAAGGTCTGGCAGTTTGCACAACGAACAGTGGTTATCTCCAGGGAATGAGATGTGGCCCAGGACAGGGAGGTGCTATATACTTATTTAACACTGAGCTGTTATCACTTCTGATATTTTAAGTATGTATACATAAATAAAATATTAATATATAATATTAATACTTAAAGTATACACATACACACACACACACATATATATATATATATATATATATATTTCAAGTATTTATATATGAATATTATTAAAGGGCTGCACTTTCCGGGGAGGTTAAGTTCTAGAAACTGGAACTGTTCATTCACGGCCGTTTGGAGAAGTTGGCCATCTATTTTACAAAGCACGGGGTCACAGCAAATGAGTTGAAAACCCATAGGTAGAAAACCTTCCACTTGCCCCCTAAGGGCCTCCAGAGCAGGTGAGAGCTGGCGCACACGGGCCTCCCGCGAAAAGTGGAGCTGCGCGCATGCGTGGCGGCCTGGGGCGGGGCCGGGGGCGAGGCGCGCCCGACGGGCGCTCGCGGACCTCCGGTCTTGGTCGCCGGCCGCGCACAGCCAGCTGCAGGAGCGCATACTGGGCTGGTCGGCTCCTGCCGCCGCAGCCCGGCCCGCGAACGCCGGGGCACGAACGGAAATACTGTTGAAAGGTAGCCTGTCCTTCTGGGGGTCGCGGTGGTCTTCGAAGAGTGAGCTTCAGCTGGCTTGGAGGAAGCCGCGGGCCGGAACCCGGGTCCTGCCTCGGGCGAGTGGTGATTTGGGGACGCGCAGGTGCCCGCGGGCAAGGCGCCCTCTCTGGGACCGAGGAGGCGTGAGGTGGTGGTGGGGGTGGATCCCCGAGGAGCGACCCCAGCCCCGGCTGGAGGCCGGAGCCGGCTTGGAACACTCCCCCCGTCACGCATACCTGAGGCCGAGCTTGATTTGTTCCGAGGTGGGTGGTCTGTGAGTTTTACAGCCTCGGTACGTCTCTTGCTCCTTCCGTGGCGGTTTTTCTGCAGGGTTTGTGCGGAACCCCGGGCCCCTGAATTCAGACGTCTTGCTCATCTTTGGAGGGTGAGTTAAAAGATTGCCTGCGTCCGACCCTCTCTCTCAGACGTGCATTCGGGGATGTTTGGCGTAGGTGCCCTTGTTGGAAATGCTAAGGGATGACTGAGCCACGCGGTCGCCTTAGCGCGACCCCATGAAGTGCCCTAGTTGACGGGAGGCTGGTGTCAGAGTTTATGTTCCCCAAAAAGAAATGAGCGTCCAAGAGAAAAGGAGACGCCAGCCTTGCCTGCGAGTTGGAAACATCTACGCGCTTTAAGGTGCGTTGGTTTTGCCTTTGGCACGCGTGCCCACAAACTTGCCCCCAAATATTAAGTGGAATAAATTATAATGATTTTCTCCCAGAAAAAGATTGCAAAACGGGTTATTGTTAGATTCCTTGGAATACCCTTCACTCAGGCGGGACTCCCCATTTCAGAAGGCTTCGCTGCAGGGGACCTGGCTTGGGGACCTGGCCCCCCATTCTCTCCCAGAGCCCAGGAGGTGAGGCAAACAGCTGCCATTCGGGGATTTTAACGGACGGCCCAGTTCTGGTTCTGTGTAAACGCTCCCTTGCATCTCAAGAGATGCTTTGAATCTACATATATTCTGAAAACTTCAGTTTTTCATGAGTCATGTAAAAGCAAACATACCTATTCTAAAATTCAAAGATTTTTAAAAACTAAGTATATCAGTATCATAGACTTTTGAGAAAGTATAGAAAATTGCTAAATGAAGGGTAAAATGCGAGAACACCAAAAAGCTGGCAAACACTGCTTTAGGAAAGATTTGTTTTGACATAAATTCTTGTTCTCTTTTGGCCTGTCGACACGTGGGTGATATCATTTGACTTGCACATTTTTAAAACAAATTGTAGATTTTAGGTTTAGGAGGGAACGTAGAGGTAATGTGGGTGGCAAAGAACATAAACGTTTTTTGCCACATTCCTTAAAATTATGTTTTGTCCTCTGCTTGGGTTATATTTAATGGGAAGAGGTAGAGTAGAAAGCTGTGTGTTTTGGAGCTGTATTTTGGGACCAAATCCTCAGCTTTCCTGTCCAGGCCACACCTCCCTTGTCATTTCACTGATAGCTGGGATTTCAAGTCCTGTAACGAGATCATCAGTCTGTGGTGGCAGCAATCTGATTTCTCAGTGTGCCACTTTAGAAAGTAGCTTAAATACAGGCCATTTGCTAATTACTTCCCGTTCATTTTCAGCTTGCTGCTTCCAAGAAACTTGTCTAGCTTTTTAGATAGTTTTGAATCTTTATTCTGTTATCTGTGGCATTTACGCACTATTTCCAGTGTTGTGACAGTCGAAAACTTGAAAGTTTTCTTTTAGCCAGTCTGGAAGAGCCTGGTGATGGTGCAGAAGACAGTTGCTTCCATTGCTGCCACCAGCTTGGCTTTGGATATTTAGTTTTTCGTCTAATCTGTCTTTGATTGCCTTTCCCTCAAGAATGTTTTGGGAGATTTCTTACTTTTAGAGGATCCAATTCACATGGTCACCTGATCCACCAAATTAGTAAACATATCAAAAAAAGGAAATTGGGTTAGGGTGGTTAGCGAAGCCACGAAGTGGACTTCGAGTCATTATATTCTTTTCCAAATGCTAACAAACCTGTTTTGTGCTCCAGAATTGCGCTAAAGATCACTGTCAAGCTTGCGCACCTCTCCCTTTTTGGAAACATGGCTTATCACTTGATGGGATCCTGTATTCTGGTTTTGTCTTCTGTCAACCTTCACAATTTCAGATAGTGACTCTGAAACAGCAATCAAGTCCCTTCAGCAACCAGGTAAATAATACGTCTGATCCTAAAGACTCCAGCAAACTGATCTGAGATAGGTATTTGCATCCTGTCTTCTCACGGGTCTTAGGCAGTGATTCCCTATTCATATACCCTTAGCAGATGACTTCATTATTGTTTAGCGTCAAGAATGGCCTGTAAACCCAAAATTAGCCAGATTGATAACTCAGTAGAAAAGTTTCTGCAGTAAATGAAGTTGTGTGTCATCTGATGAGGGGAATAAATACAAGTCACTCGACTTGTCTTTCTCTTATTTGTGGTGTTCCTCTAAAACGTGTGCCTGAAAGCTCCTTTCTGCCTACTTCTGGAGCAGACTGTAAAGGAGAGAGCCAACCTTGCTATTGTCTGGAAAATCATGGTGTGGATAATAGTATAGAACAGACGGCAGTGGGGGGAAATCGTATTGTGGATTCGGTGTCTAATACATTCTCCCTGTCTGTTTTCCAAAGCTCTCTATTTTATTAGTAAAATTCAGAGGTTGAGAGCAGGCAGGTGGTAGGCAGTAGAGATTTAAGAGATTTTAGTTGATAAATAGATTGCCTCTCCCACCTCCTCTGTGTAGTTTAGAAGGCTTACAGAAGTAGTAGAATGCATTTATTTATTTTTGTACTTTATGATGTTTATTCATGATGCCAAGGCAGTGAGTTTTACCCTGGCATAGACCAGTTACTATTTTCTTTCATGTCCATAAACTGCTCCCAACTCTGACAAGTCACTGTGCCTAAAATTGGCCAACCACAAAGAGAATATGACTGAATAAATTAAGTAGGACTGAATCAACTATATCTGTCAGTGTAAGTGAAAAATTTAAAAACCACAGAAGCATATGTTCTGTTAACAGCAGACTAGTCAAACAAATTATATTTATATGGAAATGATAAATAATAAACGTTATGTCTGCTTATTTAATTATAACTGTAGTGGTATTATGTGCTGCTAAAAACTGGAACTGAATGATTTACACAGCCTATAAATAAATAAATGTCATCATAGACTACCTTAAATTTTTTGTAGTATCTCTCCATACATATTCATTAAAATGTGCGTTTTTGGAGCCCTTTGACTGTTTGATCCTACTACCGCCTTCTATTTTAATAGAGCTTCATGTATAACTCCTGGCAAGTGTTGCAATATTTCCACTAATCAGGCTAGTTTTTCTTTCTTTTTTTTTTTAAATGGACAAGTTTCATCTGGGTAGAAAAAAAGTAGTCTGGAAACCAATAATTTCCTAACAAAAACTTTCAATGTATACAATAATATATACATATCCTAAGCTTTAAAATTATTGGAATTTTATTTATACATTCTGATGAATGTGTTTTTGTGGTATTTTGCCGAGCTAGGAAGTGAAATCAAATGGATGTTGGTGAGTACCCCATGGCAGCAGTTACTTCATTTCGTTCATTCAGAGTGAACTGTAACTTGGAAGCCTTCTTTAGGTAAGAAAGTTGGTAGTTTGAAAAAGAAATGATCAATTTTTAAAAATGATCATATATGTTTAGGCCAGAATTTTTATATCATCATTTTCAAGCTAAGAAAGATCAACTTGTCTTGCATTCTAAAATATAGTTTACTGATGCTCATTGCTATAAAATTATTTTTTGTAAAATTAATGGTCTCTGGATGAGTTTTATGCTCTGAAAACTAGTGTACACAAGGAAAAAGAAAGTTTAAATGTTTAAATGTTATTTTTAATGGAATTATTGGCACATAATATCCTTTAGTTACTTATGGTGATTCTGTCAGTGAATCACAATTTGGCAATTTAATGTTTTTACTAAATAAACAATTTTAACAATCAGTTGATAGTACCATCAGATTTAATATATAGCAGATTCTTTGTTTGGAATTGCAAGACAGTTTTCTAACCTGGCATTTGGTTGAAGCCTTTGTTTTATTTTTGGCTTCATTATTTTTCTAGTGAAGTTATACTTGGGATAACTTTTTTGTAATACCTTAGTGAAATTTTAATTTTCCATTCGGTAGGCTACCAGATAAAACAATTACAAGCAAAACGTCAATAAAAGTGCTCCACATCAGAGTTTAGAATCCAGTGTCTATTCCTTCACCTTCCCTGGGCTATATATCACATTTCATTTTAGGGAATTAGCATTAAAGAATAGATCAGCCCTTTCAAAATAGCATATGCTTTAAACTGTTGACGTCAGCAGTTTCATATATTCTGCATTGTATTGCTGGACCGCTTGTCAGTCATGCAAGTAATTTTAGTCAGATTAAAATTACTTAGTAACTCTTTTGCCCGATGCTTGAGATAGAGCTTTGCAGCTGTTTGTACTTTCCATTTCCGTTTTCCAAACCCTAAGGATGACCTTTCATTTTGTTCAGTGACTAGGTCAGTCCTGCTTCTGGGATCCAACTGTGTTGCGGTTAAGAAATGTTTCACATCAGACAGAGTGACTCACAAGACAGAGATATTTACATATTAAATAAATATTTCATTAGATTTAAAGGTATGTTTCAGTTATGACACTGAATCTTCTACATATCCACTCCTAGCATTCAAGGGTGAAAAGAGAATTAGTCAACCACAGTTAAATAAAGTTCAGAACTACTCTTAACCATTATTTTGCCCCTCAAATAATTGTATACTTAAAATACTTTGGAGTCTTAGGTAAAATATATGTACCAGATAACTCAGTATACTTGGGTATATCTGTACCTGAAATTTGTTGGAACTTAATTGTGCCGCAAGTTGACTAATACTTGGAGATTCGTAGTTTCTTTTTGTTGGGGAAGAATGCTATCTCTGTTGCTGTTTTACATTGGCTGGTGAGAGTCAGGTGTGTTACTTACACAGACTTTGTTCCTGCCATATCCTATTTTTCTAGAGCTCCTGTGACTTGGGTATCATTTGAAAATTGTAACAGACCTTTTGAATTTTTGTTGGAATTGCAATTCAACTTCATGAAATTTGTTCAGAAAAGTGCACTGGACAATTTACAATAATGACAACTGCAACATTGATTGAGCATTGACACTGTGTGCTGGCTCTTAAGATACTTTAATCCTCACAACAGCCTTATGAGATGGTACCGCTGTGCTCCCTGCTTTTCACATGAAGAAACTGAGGCTTAAATTAATTTTCTCGGACAAGATCACATGGTTAGTCAATGGCAGAGCTGGGACTTATTCAGACCTGTGCTTTTAATTATGTGTTACAGTCTCCCAGGCCCTCCAGGAGTTCTTAACACAGTTGCAATGTGATGCTTCCTTCTTTGTAGGAGATGGTAAGAACACAGTAATTGGCCAGGAATAAACCTGGGACGTGCACAGCTTTCTTGGACATTTCCTCTTGGAAGCTTCTTCAACTACCAGCTCCCACATACAAACTCAATTACATACCATTGCCTTATTTTTCCACTCTAGCTTGTCCCAATTTCAGACATGGCGTTTATCAACTGTATTTCACCATTGGACCAAGCTCTTTGAAAACAAGTTACTTCTTACTTATCTCTGTATCGCCAGTACCTAGCAGTACCTATCATTGCATAAAAGTGGAAGATGACTTTCTAAATTCTCTTAAACTGTTTTTTGTTTTCTAATATTGTTATTCTATACAATTAGTGCATATACATGATGGAAATGGGGGAAAATGATCACTTAACATTTTTTAATTTTTACAGAATGAAGAGGAACAATTTATCTGTTGTGAATAAATTTGCCCAGTCTTCACCAACAGTGAAACAGCCCAAACTTGGGTTCTACTCTTCTGTCAACCAGACTGTTCTCCTAGACTGGGGGAGTTTGCCTCACCATGTAGTATTACACATTTTTCAGTATCTTCCTTTAATAGATCGGGCCCGGGCATCTTCTGTATGTAGGAGATGGAATGAAGTTTTTCATATTCCTGACCTTTGGAGAAAGTTTGAATTTGAACTGAACCAACCAGCTACTTCATATTTTAAGTCCACTCATCCTGATCTCATTCAGCAGATCATTAAAAAGCATGCTGCCCACCTCCAGTATGTCAGCTTTAAGGTAAGAAAAATAAGCATGAGATAGGAACCATGACTTATATTTTAACAACATTTTTGTATCTCTAGATCCGTATATTGAAGCAGTCAGTGAATTTTGCAGAGATTTTATCCCAAACAATTTCCTGTCTTTCTGTAGTAATTTGCAGAGATAGAGATGGAGAACTTGAGCCAGAACGAATAACTTAAATTTCCGTTTTCTTCATCTGAATGCTCTTATTGGGTTGTCAGAAAAGTCGTGACGTGTTTTTTCTGTTTTTCATTGCAAAAATGTGTCATGACTTTCCCAGCAACCCAATATTAAAATTCAGGTAACTGTAAAAGATTTGAAAGTATGAAGTGCTTAGAAAGTTAATTTGCTACCATGTCTATTTCTCCCTGTTTTATCTGAGACATTTTGTATAAGGAAAAAATACTAAAATATAGCTTGAAGGGGGAAATACGGTTTTGTAGTTGAATTCTACAATATAATATGACAAGTAATTATATTGCCAGTAACTTTCTGATAAGTTACCTCCATGAAATTAACATTTTAAATTGTCTGTCTAGGTTGATAGCAGTACTGAATCAGCGGAAGCTGCCTGTGATATACTTTCTCAGCTGGTCAATTGTTCTATCCAGACCTTGGGCTTGATTTCAACGGCCAAGCCAAGTTTTATGAATATGTCAAAGGTAAAGATGCTATGCTTTTTTTGGTGAACAATGTACTGAAAATTCTTAAATACGCCAAACTAGCACAAAGGATTCTTTTCCTAAAAACAGACTATATCCTACTTGTATTCAAAGAATTATTTAAAGCCATTTTTGGTTGACTAGCATTTATTTTTGCTGAAATAGCTTATACATGGTTTCATTCTTTAGATATATTTAGTAATTTTAGTAATTGTTTCCCAGTAAATATCATTAATACAGAATTTACATGTTGCATAACTTTCAAGTGCCAGTTGCCTTGCATATAGGGTGTGTAGGGCCAGTAATGGGTGTCTTTTCTGTAATTCTATAGTCTCTCCACTGGAGGTGAAACAACGTAATATTTAACTAAATGAACTATATTAGTTAGGATGATATAGTAAAAATTCCAAAACAAGTGGCTTAAAAAACATGACCAAAGTTTATTTCTCTTACATTAAAGAAACCCCTAGATGAGACAGTCCATAGCTGATATAAAGTTGTTTGGAACCCAGGCTTCCTCCAGGTACTCCATTCTCTCCAAGGCGTCTTCTTCATTTTCAATGTCCAAGATGGCTTTCTGAGATCTAGCCATCATGTCCTTATTCTAGACAGCCGATGGAAGAAACGGGGAAAGAAGGGTATGGCCTCTTCTTTTGAAGGAGACTAGCCATAAGTAGCACGTAATGCTTCTCTTTGTCTTAGCCCTGTGGCCACACCAGATTCCTGGGAGGCTAGGAGTGTTTTAGCTGGATGGCAATGGGCTTAACTAAATATTGAGACTAGATTACCAAAGAAGAAAGGATGAATGATTGTTAGGAAGCAACCAGCAGTCTCTGCCACAGAAACTAATAACTGTCTTCATTCAGGCTTCAGCGTGAATGCCGTCTCCTCAGGCCTTCCATGACCACTTTTGCTAAAACAGCTCCCACTCCTCCAGTTACTCTCTCCTGTATTACAATATTTTAGTTTCTTTATATAATTCATCAGTACTTGAAATTACTATATTTCTTTTTTTTTTTTTAAGATTTTTTATTGGGGAATTGGGGGGATGGGAACAGTGCTGGGGAATTGGGGGAAGGGGAACAGACAAGTTGCTGTCGTTTTGTTCTTCAATCTAGTTGTGGAGGATGTTGCTTCGCTGGCCCAAGTTGGCACCATCATTGCGCTCTTCTCTGGCGAGGCAGATCAGTCTCTGGCTTCTGGACGGCCGCTCACTGCGGCTGCTGGCCGCTCACGCTGGCTGCTGGCCGCTCACGCTGGCTGCTGGCTACACATGGTAGCCCATGGCAACTCACTGCAGCAGGGGTTGCAGCCCACGCCGTCGCCGGCGACTCATGGCAGCCCAGCTCCAGGTTGAGCTGTTGTTCAGCATCTTAGCTGTGGAGGGCAGTGTCACTGGCCCTCATATGTGGGATCCGAACCGGGGCCCTCTGGCATCCCAAGCCAGTTCTTAACCATCGCGCCACTCGGCCGGCCCATAATTACTGTATTTCTTTAACCTGTTTATTCTCTTCTCCCCAGACCAAATCATAAACTCCTTGAAGGCAGGGGTTCTATTTTGTTTACTTACCATTATAAACCCAGAATTAGAATAGTGCCTGATATGTATTATAATGAGCACTAAATTATGGTTGTCAGTAAAACTGGCTAATGGAAACCTTCCTGTAGAAGAGGCTAGAGGAATAGGAGCATCTTTCTCTCATAAACTGGGTCATGGCTGTCTGTTAGCAGGCATTTCTGCTATCCTGTTTATCTTTTCAAGAGACGGGCTGAAAAAAATGGGTCATTTGGGGATTACAGTAATATAAGTAATCAGATGAAAACTTACTACTTCTAAATAGTTACTTCCTTGTTTATGAACTATGGAATCAGATGAGCCTGAAATTCTTAGATTCTAAGCTCTCTCTACTGTTGCACATCAGCTTCCAGGGCCAGGTTCTCGGTTAGCTGATGCAGTCACCAGAGTGAGGCACTGGCGATGAGCAGGCTGCCTTTCAAACTCTGCCTCCACAGGAAAATGAGCTGTGTGGCTTCTGGCAAAGTTGTGGATTTCTCTGAGCCTCGGTTTTTTTTTCATTTGTAAACTAACGGAAATTAAAAGTACAGCATTTTGCTAGGTATACATAGTGCTAAACGAATATATTGTTACTATAATAAAATATGTACACGTTTCCTCTGCTATCCGAAAGCAGAGTGTTCCTGTAAAACCTTTTGGAAGCAGAAATGGTGTAAAGCAAAGAAGCAGTTATTTTTGGGCACATTGTATTAATGGATACACAAAACAAATTGAGATGAAGCTCAATCTGAGGTGAAGCTGTGCTCACAGACACAGCTCACAGCTTTGGCAGCTTACTGCTGAGAGGCTGAGAGTAGTTCCACCAGAGAAGGAGCTTGATGGGGCCACACTCCCTGCTTGGGTTGTGTGCTCCCTCTATAACGCCTCCCTGCGAAACCAATGCCAAATGTTATTTTTGCTTTCTGCCTTTTTCTTAAAAGCGAAAATCCTCTTTGGATTCCTTTTGGTGAGTGAAAACAGGTGCTAATGTAGGTCTTTTGTAAAAGTGAAGTGGCATAAAGTGAACTTTCAAAAAGCAGGGGATATCTGTACTCTTAATTCTTAACTGTGTCCTTCAGGACTAAAAGAGTCCATTGAGAGTTGATTAAAGGGAAAAGAAACCTTATATTTCTTAAGGAAAAAGAAGGATGTATTTATATTTCTCTAATAGTTTTTGGCACCGTAAAATTTAATAAGGAGGCCTAGCCATCACCATTTAAAAATTTGTGTAAATCAGTTAACAATTAGTTTAAAGCAGTAAGTTTTGTTATAAATGAATTAATATGTATAACCAATTTGGTCATTCTAATAGAAACAATAGAATGTTTGGTCAACTCCAAATTGATTTTGAAAAAGGAAAAATGATCTTGGATGGATTTGGTTTCCAGACTTTCTGTGTCCAAAAATACTGGATCTGAAAACTTTTGAAACTCCACCCCTTTCAAGTTTAAACTATAAATAAGCTTTAGTTTGTTAATTTTCAAAACATAGAAAGTTTTCAAAACATATCTTTGTTTAATTTGCTAGCAAAAGGCATGTCACCAAAGAATATGGCACCATTTATTCATCAACAAATATTTATTTGACCCACTATGTGCCAGGTACTATTTTAGGTGCTGGAAACACAGGAGTAAATAAACAAGATTAAGCATTTAATGTCTTCTAGGGTGGGGTTGAAAAGGTACAGATAGTAAATATTTTAGGCTTTGCAGCTCATACAATTTTGCTGCAACTCTACTGCTGCCATGCTACTGAACTCTAGCACTGTGGTGTGAAAGCAGACATTGAGAATACATAGTTGAAGCAGGTTGGCTACGTTACATACCATCACTTTAATTATGAACACTGAAAGAATTTTTTTTAAGTTTATTGGGGTGACCATTGTTAGCAAAATTACATAAATTTCAGGTGCACAATTCTGTAATACATCTATATATCAACATTGTGTGTTTACCACCCAGAGTCAGTTCTCTTTCCATTACCATATATTTGATGTGAAAGAATTTCATATAATTTTCATGTCACAAAATATTCTTTAAAACATTCTTTTCCACTATTTAAAAATGTAAAAAGCACTCTTAACTCATGAGCCATACAGTAACAGACCATGGACTGGATTTGGCTGGTGGACCATAACTTGCCAACCCCTATTCTAGGAAATAAATATAATTATATCCTTTCAATATTGAGAACTAAATCCTTAAGATTGAAAATAATTGGAAGACACGTTTATGAGATCTTTGAAACTTTTTCCTTTCTTACCATTCCATTTATGAAATATAAAAGCATAAAAAAACTATACTTCTGAAAATTTCTTCTACTGGCTAATGGTGCTAAGGAAAACAGTAATATATTGATTGCATTTACTATGTTATTGTAAGCATATGTTGATATAATAGTTTTAATGAATTATTTGATTGAAGCTGTAGATCTTTAAATAATGTTTTCATGTTTTTTTCCTTATTTCCATGCAAGTCTCATTTTGTGTCAGCACTTACAGTTGTTTTTGTCAACTCAAAATCAATATCTTCGATCAAAATGGAAGACACACCAGTGGATGATCCTTCACTGAAGATTCTCGTGGCCAATAATAGTGACACTTTAAGACTCCTAAAAATGAGTAGCTGTCCTCATGTTTCATCTGATGGTAGGTTATGTTGTTGTTTTTTTTAAAGCTTGTGTGACATTTTTTTATTGTAGCAATAAAAAATTGCTACAATGCAGTTTCTTATTGAAAACTGCATGCTTATGAAACATAATTCGTTAATCTTTTTTCAAAAGAAGTCTTAATCTTGCAGCTAGATATAGTTTAAATTGCTTCTCTTAAGAGTATTTTAGTTATATGTATGTAATTGTAATGTGTATATTATATATATACACATATCTCATATATATCATTATGTATTGGTATCCATCTCCTGAGAAATCAAATGTCTATTTTAGCAAATAATGAATAACTAATACCAAATTTAAATTTACAAATACTGTATTAGTATGATTCTTTTTTCTTAAGAAGTTTTCCCCTCTCCCACAGGAATCCTTTGCGTAGCAGATCACTGTCAGGGCCTTAGAGAACTGGCACTGAATTATTACATGCTAAGTGATGAACTTCTCCTGGCGCTTTCAAGTGAGACTCATGTTAACCTTGAACATCTTCGGATTGATGTTGTGAGTGAAAATCCTGGACAAATTGAATTTCATTCTATTAAAAAACAAAGTTGGGATGCACTTATTAAACACTCCCCTGGAGTTAATGTTGTTATGTACTTCTTTTTATACGAAGAGGAATTTGAGACATTCTTCAAAGAAGAAACCCCTGTTACTCACCTTTATTTTGGCCGTTCAGTAAGCAAAGCAGTTCTAGGACGGATAGGTCTTAACTGTCCACGACTTATCGAGTTAGTGTTATGTGCCAATGGTCTTCAGACTCTTGACGATGAACTTATTTGTATTGCTAAACACTGTAAAAACTTAACAGCCTTGGGCCTCAGTGAATGTGAAGTTAGTTGCAGTGCATTCATCGAGTTTGTAAGACTCTGTGGGAGAAGGTTAACTCAGCTCTCCATCATGGAGGAAGTTTTGATCCCCGATGATGATTATAGCCTAGATGAAATTCACACTGAAGTCTCCAAATACCTGGGAAGAATATGGTTCCCTGATGTCATGCCTATCTGGTAGTTGACTACCAAAGAGTCTTAACTTTTTTTTTTTAATCAGTAAGATTGGCTTCTTTCAGTCTATGCAAATGTAGATTTTTAATATGCATTGCTGTAATATTTTAGGTAAACTGTGTTATTGTTTGAAAAAATATGAGAATTTGAAAAGCTAGAAATTTTCGTAAATAGAGCACAGAGACTTTGTGGTTAGATAGTTGATATGCTAAAAACTACAGATGGTTTCTGGGTAAGTTCCTTAGCCTTCCTTGAAGGTATACTTTGCCTTGCTAAATACATTTACAATATTGAGCTTTAGACGCCTTAAGCTATGCCATTTACAATTTTATATTGTTTTAATTGTTTCTGTTTCATCTTGGTATTAACATACTTTACAAAATATTTAGTATTAAAAACTAAGAGAAAAATCAAAACATAGATGCAGAGGCTGATTTAATTGTACTACACTTTTAGCACTATATATAAGATCTTATTATGATTTAATAAATAACTTTTGATTTCCGGTACACTTGGAATTCTACTCTGTTGTATTAGCTTGGGAGAGAATTGGCATTCAGTTAAAATTAAATAATGCTAATTCATTTTATGGAGATACTGTATTATTAACTGATTAAATACACTACTGAGATTAAAAAAAGTAACTTTTTGAAAGTGTGTTTGGGAGGGAGTCAGTATGTACTGACCTGCTGTGTATCAGAAACAATGTCATATCCTATGCAGAAGTGATCTTACAGTTCAGTCAGTAACACACAAACTCCTTAATGGCTATGTATTGACGTTAGGATGAAGGTATATCTTTAAAATGATCTGCGAAATCTTACAAGGTCTGGCTTCACCCCACTTGGCCCGCATTTCCCTCCCACCAAGCTGCCTCTGGCCCTTCTGCCCCCATTCTGTTTCAGGTCCTTCAGACTGCCATGCACCCCCTAGTCAGAGAGCATCTGTACATATTCTTTTTACTTTGATGACTGTCTTTGCTCCTTCAGATCTTCCCTTTAGCTGTCTCAGGGAAGCCTACGTGACTCTCAGCAGTCTGGGACTTCCCTTTGTGGTGCTTATCACTATTGTCATTCGCCACTTACTTGTATGATTGTTTTATTCTATTGCACTGTAAGCTCCATCAGTTATCAGATTGCTGTTGGGTTTTACTCGCTGCTGTATTCCCAGCATCTAGCATAACATTTAGCATCGTAGGCACTCAATCAATTTTACTTAACTACTTTCTTTTTCAAACTTGTTGCCTTAAATCTTCCCCCCAATATCTTAAATTTCTTTCTAAGAAATCGATTAAACTAAAAAAAACATTGAAATATGTTTATTATTTTCCAGTTTCGAATATTTTTAATTAGAAAAAAATTTTAAATATTCTCACTTAGAATACGTTGTTATTTTTAAGTGGTGATTTTAAAAAAATAGCCATTTTATACCCCTTTATTTAGAGACTGTACTTATGCATACATTCTCACCACTGTACCGCATTCTTTGTCACTGTGAGCTCCGTAAGAGCAGGCATCTCATCTCATCTCACTCACCTTTGAGTTCAAAAGTCTCAAAACAGTGTGTAGTACATTAGTACATACTAAATAAATTCTAGTGGAACTGTTATTACTGATTACAAAATAAAACCAACTTCTTAAGACAGTTATTACTATTGCAGATGACATCATCTATACCTTAAGATTTCAGGGGAGTGCAGAAGCAGTATATAATAGGAAACTTAAAGTCTGATTAGAATAACAGGACAAACGAACATCAGGGAAATGGCATAACTGTGATGGAAGAGTCAAGCTGGCTGGAGATCAGAGTAATACTGACGAGAGAAACCTCCGATCTCAACTGGTGTTAAAGTTCAAAGGGTGCCAAAAAAAATGTATATCCATTTTAAGAAAGGAAAAAACTTAAAATTGTAATAGTATATACCAATAACAAAAGATGAATACAAGTCTTGTGTATACATTTTTTGGGCACCTTCGGCATATGTACTTGAATGATAAGATGATAGAATGCCAGTGGTGTTTGCATTAGAGGATAATGAAGCAAGACAAGGAGGGACTAGAGAAGGGAAGTCAAGGGGGAGTTTGTCCCCACAGCCCATCAGCATAGAGAGAATGAGTACCAGCAGCCTCTTTCACCTCAAATAAGAATTTGCTGCTCTAAACAGTGGTGTTTAGTGGCCCAGTAGTCAGATCTAGTGAACTGAGCACTATAATGACTCTCAGCAAAACTCAGAGTAAAACTGATCAGCTCAGTTAAATGTCCCTGGTTGGTCTAACTTACTGGGTTGATAAACTGAAGAGCCAGCATTTTTTTAACACAGCCAACAAGATGAGGAAATAAAGTATTTCCGATGCTTCATCTAATGAAAATGTTTCCATTCACTTTGGAAGTCCATGAAAAGTACTGTTTACCTAAGATTAGAGGATTCTAGGTAAATGCAAGAGTTCGATATAGGATGATTTTGAACTTTAGGCTTTTAAAAATATTTTAGTAAGCAAACTTGTTCATATTAAAAGTGTCTCTTTGCATGTGTTAAAAGGTTCTGGAAAAGTTAGGGTAATTTTGTGTGCAAAATATAAATGGAGAGAATGGGAGAAAAAGTTCTATTTTAAGATTTACTGAAGAAACACAAAAACAGGATCCTCAAAATTTTGTTTTTCTTTTCTTATAGCCTTGCTGGCCTCATTTGTATTGTACTAAATATTGGGGCGATGGGCCGATTATAAAGTTATTGCTGTCGATATGCCACTAAATGTGATAAATGTTGTCACAAGGATATAAGAATTCTTCCCTTTCAAGGCCTGGCCTCTTAAATTGGCTCTTAGCTAGTGTTTTCATTAAATTACTTCCCTCCAAGAAACTCAACACATTTTTTAAATAAAAATTGATTTTGTTCACATTATTTACAGTCAGTGAACCTAATACTTGACATCAAAAATTATAAGTATATATTATAATCACTTTAAGGAAAAATAATTTACTACTATTCTCTGTCATTTGAACCTTTACAATATTTTAAGCTAAGGGGAACATTTTGACACTCAAACCTAAAAGAAATGGGGGGGGCGGGGGAAAAAAAAAACCACCTCTGATATCATACACCAGAGGGCGCTGTATTCTATTTCTTCCTAAGAAAGAAGTCCTTCAGTCTAAAGTTTGCATTTCCATTCAACAGATGTGAGAGTGCTTGTGGAAGGCTAGGCAGAAGGCAACATTCTTGCTCTACCTTGGGGAAGCTCTCCATTCCAGGTAATGAGTCTGGTTTTTAAAACAATCACTTCAGAAGGTTGATTATTTCGAAGGCTAAGCATATAGTTCGTTGTTCAAGCATTTTAGAGCTCTTTAAAAATTCCCTTTAAAGGCTGTGTGCTATTTCCTTTTTGTGTGTTCTCAGTGGGAGCACAGCCTTTGTCCTTTGAAAACAAATCTAATTTCTGGAAACAACTGAAAGTTATTTGGTACTAAGGAGGTGAATAAGGTAGATGATCAAATCAGACAGTGCTTGTTATTGTTTTCTCTTTTTTAACCAAAAATTAAATTCTTAATTCGCTAGTCTTGTATAAGATGTTATGAAACAGTAGAGGATGGTATCTAACTAGGTATGAGAAATTACTAATTGTGTTGTGTAGAATCTAAACTATCAGAGAACCATCATTAATTAACTGTGTCTTTTTCCTGCACTCAACCTGCAAGCCCTGTTACCTCTATAACATATTCATAATAATAAATACTCATAAATTCACCTCCCAACTGTAAAACTACAGCATTGAGTAACTTACATTTGTCTGTGTGTCCTTCCCTATCCAGTCCTTAGATAACCAATGTTCATTATCATTATTTGTTTTATTTCCTTGTGTGTATGTTTTTATCACATATTTATACATTCCTAAAAATTATGTTTTGGTTTTAATTTTTTTTCGTTTTATAGAAACGTTTTTTTCGTTGTATATGTTTAATCTTTTGGACTATTTTTTTGGCTCAAAATGGTATTGCTGTGATTCATCCACTTTGTTATGTTAGCTGAGGTTCATTTATTACCACTGCTGTATAATATTCTATAATTAACCACAATTTATTTGTCCATCTCACTGTTAATGGGCATTTGAGTTGTTCCAGGTTTTGCTATGGCAAATAGTGATGTTATGAACATTCTTATACATATGTCTTAGTATACAGCTACAGCCGCTTCTCGCCAGTAGTAAAGTTTAATTAATTACATTTTCCTCTAACATATCTACACTAAGAATGGAGTCATTCTGCTGGAGTTTTCTACATTCTAAAAGGATTTAAGCAAAAACTTCATGAAGGAAGTTTCCAGAAAGATGAATTCAACTTATTCATTTTTTACTGATTGACTAAACTCTAAGGAGCCATAATTATTTCTGGTCCTTTGAACATTCGTATGGTCTTATTTCCCCCTTAATACCTGTTGTAAACATAAACAGGAAAAAATAACATAGATATACAATGATATGTAGAAATAAGTAGCTCTGATACGCTTGTGAGGCTAACTGATGGTTCCATGAGATATTTCAGGTTAAGATAGACCTCTTTCTCTTTCTAATACTCCCTGTAATACAATCATACTGAAAGCTAGAATGTTACATATTTTCTTAGACTGCCATCATGTATTACTTAGATCTACCACTCGTATAGTGTGGGAATGTGTGGATATAAAGACCAGCAAATGCTGTCCAATCCATGCAACCAGCTCACATTCCAACCAGTCTGACAAACCTGAGTCTCTTGCTGAAATTCTCCACAACCTTAACTCAAAAGAATCCTCCAGTTTACTCAGTTAATATTTATAAAGTGTGTACGTGTGTCTACCCTTGTACAACACTATTCCTATACCATAAAAACAGCTTCAGGCTTTTTTTTTTCCCCAAGCACAAATCTAGTTTTAGAAACACTAAAAGTACAGTCTGGATCAGTTTGAATTTGTGTGTTTATTTATCCTATATATTTAGGGCTAAGAAACCTTTCAAACAAATACAAACAAAAGGACACCACCCCAGCTCTCATAGGTTGTAGAAAGGTCAGAGAGCCCCGAGAAATGGGTCGACATACTAAAATATCAAAGAGGCAGTGAGCTGAAATCAAAATACTCTTTTCTTCCTTGCATTCATCATGCTGCTGTTTGAATACAAATTTCTTGAAAAGCAGGATGTGCATTCAGGCTTTATGAAGATGGCTTTCTAGCTGGAAGATCTGGTCATCTATCCTCCACTTACAGGTACACAGTGGGATCACTAGAGTCACAGTTTTCAATATGGAGATGGGATTGTATGCCACGATAAACTTCCTGCATGGGCAGTAGAGTTCCAAGTTTTTCTCCCTTATTGATAGAACCATTATGTTTAATTGGCTTAATGTAGAACATTTTCACACAGAAACCTAAAAGAAAAGAAGAAGTAAAATTATTCATTATCTGGGTTTTAGTAGTCTTGAGTCAGAAATTTAAAAAAAATAAGAACAGAAATGGATAAAACAAAACAAAAAGAAAGGAGGGTTGACTGAACTTCATGAGGGAATAGAAGAAAGTGACAAAATCATATCAGAAAAAGACACAAAAATTGCAAGATGCCCAAGGAAGAATAGATTCAAATGAAAATTTCATAAAGGCTTTGAAGGATAGCAGGAAAATACTAGGTAACTGAGAAAATTGACCCAGAACAATGTCAACTCTAAGGCATAGTCTAGTTAAACTGCTAGACTTTAAAGACAAAGAAAAATGGAAATAACTGGCACAAGAATACAAATCTTCCTAAATACCAAAAGAAAAATATTTTTAAATATAGAAGACCCACCAAATGGAGAAATAGTTAATATAATACCATGATTATAACATAAAATAATATGACAGTGTTGAGACCAAATATATGTTATATCTATAAATGTTAACCCACCTATTAAATAGATTTTCTTTTTGCCTTGAAAAGGAAAACCCAATTCTGTGCTGTATACAATAAAATACAGTAATTGAAAAATGCTAAAAATTAAGGGCTGGACTAATATTTGCCAAGAAAATGGAAGCCTAAAGGAAAACAGGGTTATGATTCTGTTACCAGAGTGGAATTCAAGTCAAAAATAACTGAAACAAGACAAAGGAGGACAATTTGTAATGCAAACCCAATGAAGATGCAATAGCTGCAACTATCCATGTGCTAGATAACAGAAGCTATCTATATAAAGCAGAGACTATAGGAGATACAAGGAGAAGTACATAGAAACCCACTAGTAGAATATTTGAACACTTTTATCAGTGAAAATCGGTCAAGTGGACAGAAAACAAGTAATGCTATAGAATTGTTGTCCAACATGGTAGCCACATGTGGCTAGTTAGCAATTAAAATGTAGTAATCAGAATTAGATGTGCTTTAAGTATAAGATGCACACTGGATTTTGAAGACAATACAAAAAAATATATAATGTTAATTTTATATTGTATTTTGAAATAAAAATATTCTAGAGATACTGGGTTATTAAATATATTATTAAAATTAATTTCACCTGTTTCTTTTTACTTTGTGTGACTACTAGAAAATTGAAAATTACTTATGTGGCTTTTATTATATTCATGTTAGATAGTACTGATGATGAAGATCTAAACATCAATGAAATGTGCTTTATGTATTTATATTAAACAGTGTGTGCAAAACCTCTACACTGAAAACTAATACAACTACTTCTAATATAACAATGTAACAATCTAAATACATGAAAGGTATAACATGTTCATTGATTGGTGGACCCATTACTTTTAAGATATCAGTTCTCTATTTGGTCTATAAATGAATACAAATCCAACCAAAATCCCAGGAGGAATGTCAGTGGAAATTGACAAACCAATTCTGTAATTTGGAAATGCAAATGACCAAGAATTGCCAAAGCAGTCTGAAAGAAGAACAACACTGGAAGACATATACAATCAGATATCAAGATGTATTTTAAAGCTATTAAGACAGTGTGGTATTTGTGGAATATTTACAAATGACTGATGAAACACAATAGAAAGACCAAAAACAGACCTACATATATTCAGACCCTGATTTATGACAGAAGATACTGAAGTGCGGTAGGGAAAATCTGATCTTGTCAAGTTAATGGTACTGAATCAATTAGATATCAATATGGTGAAAAAATCCTGACCTGTATCTCATTTCTTACACAATTCCAGATGGATTATAAATCTAAATATGAAAGATGAAGCAGTATGGAAACATAGGGGAAATATCTTTACGATTTCAGGGTAGCAAATATGTCTTAAACAGGTAAAAAATATAATCATAAAGGAAAATACTACTAAATTGGGCTGCATTAAAAAGAATTTTTGTTTATTAAAAGAAACATTAAGAAAGTGAAAAGACAACCCACAAATTGGGCAAAGACATTTACAATATATATAGCTGACAAAGGACTTGTGTGTAGAATATACAAAAAGCTCCTACTTACCAATAAGAAAAAAAGACGGCAAAATACTTGACTAGGCACTTCACACAAGGCAATGTCTTTATCAATCAATATGAAAAGGTGCTCAATTTTATTAGCCATCAGGAAAATGCAAATTAAAGCCATATGAGAGAACACTAACTACATACTCACCAGAATGGCTGAAATGAGAAAGGTAGGTAGATAACACCAAGTATTGTGTGTGGAACAACTGGAACGTTCACACTCCTGGTAGGAGTGTGAGTTGGTACTAATACTTTGGGAAGCTGGCAATATCTGCTAAAGCTAAAGTAACACAAATGCCATGTGAGCCAGCACTTCCTCTCCTACAGCATCAATTCCAAGTATCCAACGGGGGGAATTACCACATGGTGGATTTGTAGATGCACTGGGCCCACGATAAGATGGGTCCTACTGAAAATGACCCTGGAAGCCCCTAGTCTGACTGGTGGACCACAGTGGCCTTTCGAGTCTCCAGGAATTACTGTCAGTTTTGAGTGAGTGATCAATAGTCTCTGAAAAGCCTAGTTATTTCTTCTTCCCCAGTTTACAGTCATTCTGCTAAATCAGCGGTTCTCAACCTGTGGGTCGCGACCCCTTTGGGGGTCGAACGACCCTTTTCACAGGGGTCGCCTAAGACCATCAGAAAACAAAAAGATATTTACATTATGATTCATAACAGTAGCAAAATTACAGTTATAGAGTAGCAA